CCCCAAAACCCCAAAACCCCAAAACCCCAAAACCCCAAAATACGAATAAATTTTAATAAACTCTTTTCTGGAAATTTGGCAAACAAATATGATATTCTACAAACCTGAATCATATATTGTCCCTGAAAAATTTAGAGGGATTATCAAGCAGGAGTCGCAAGATACTTCAAAGCTTATAGAAGTCAAGGCTCAGAGGGATTCAAATAGTATCGGTAAGGTTTCAGCTTAAAATTTTAATCGTTCAGCATCACTCTGAGATACTTTCAAATCTGTAGTTGGAGACAAGTTGTAATATGGCTCTATAGACGTTGGAAATCCTCAGAAGTTTATCACTCTAAACCAGGTATTTTGTTGTTAATTTCAAATTTTTATTGAAGATTTAACTTTACTACTGAATTTAGCCTCAGATGCAAAGGATTCCTCAGAAAGTCATAAAATAAGAAATTGGAAAAATCTGATCTTGCTCCAACACTGAATCTAAAGAAATTTATGAAAAGGCTGCATAAACAGCCGAGATCAAGAGCTCATAAGCGAGTTTTTGGGGAGGTTGATGAAAAAGTAATTCATTAAATTATTCAAATCTCAGATCAAGAGAACACCATTCAGATACACATTTCTCTATTTTAATTCTCTAATTTTGCTTTTCTAGTGTAAAACAATGAAAAATCCTCCAAAAAGACTCTACTCCAAAAATTTCAAAAGTATAAACCCAGCTTAATTCTCTAGTAAAACCCCGCATAATTGAGATCCGAAGGAAAACAGACTCAAACCCCACTGACCACAGCTCAGACGCCTACAGAATCAACCTCACCTCCTCTCCCAAGAGAAAAACCACGCATTCTCCCCTCTATCCCTACAACCCTAAAACTCCCAAACCCTCTAACCACATCCTTCCAAACACAACCTCGTCACCTCCTCAAAACGCTCAGCATAGATTACAGCCTTCGATGAGCCGTAACGGCCAAATGCTCATCGACCACTCATTAAACTACAACACTATTTCGCCAATTGTAGGGAAGATTAATAGCTTCTCTACAAAATCATACTTTAATGAGTTCAGGGAAAATATGAAGTATTAATCAATAGTTACATTTAGATACCAACAACAAAAAGGACTCAAACAAACCTTTTCTAAACGCAATCCCTCAACAGTACAATTCAAAGACTAAAATATAGGAAGGATATATCGATATCTTAGGTGCACAACCCAAAATGAATCTTTTCAATCTCAAAAACATCCATCCACACTCTACACAAAATCGAACTATCCAACTCACTAAGCCTACTTCTGGCTCTCCAAGAAAGCCTATTTCCTTCCAATCTCCACTAGGAAACACAGAGTTCATGCACCAGAGGCAAAGTATTGCTTCTCAGAGTGAGTCTTTGCTTTGATCTTTCAGGTAGCGCATACGAAATGTTCCCATCACGAAGGAAGAGATTCCACAGTGTCAACAGGATGGTAAGGATCCATTATAACTCATAGATATACCGCTACCCTGAAGTCGCAAGATCTAGCAGCCCACAAGGTTTTCCAAGTATATAACCAAATTTCAACCAGAGCCAAATCTAGGGGTTTTGGGGTTTTGGGGTTTTGGGGTTTTGGGG